TTTTTTTTTAAAACAATATTTTTAAATAATATATTCTTCAGAAAATATATTGCGTTTTTGCAAAATTCAAAACGCAATGCAAAATGCATAGGTGTGAGCCTAGTCTTAAAGTGGTTGTAAACCCTTACATATACCCAGGGTGGTGACTGGCCTTACACAGAGATTAAACAAATCCTACATAAATTGTACCTGTGTATCTGCAGCCTTCTCTTCTCTACAGCTGTTCACAATTTTTAAAGCTTGACTGAGAGTTCAGGAAAAAATGGGCAGGGAGCTGAAATTACACTCTGCAGAGCTCAGTGAGGAGAGCTCTGAGAGCTGATTGGACGGAAGAGACACACCCCCCCTCCACATAGCACACAGGAACAGAGCTGAGGCTGTCAATCACAGGCTGTGTGCTGGAGCTCCCTCCCCTGACACCAGTGTCAGGACAAGGCCATCTAGAGCCCAGGGCGAACATACCAAATTTCACCCCCCCCCCCACCCCAAGATGAGCATTATGTGTCAGCAAAAATCCCCACACCCCCCAAAAAAAAATTAAGCACTAATCTGCATTCTTTCCCTCCTCCCATTACAAATCTGCCCCTTACTGAAATCCCTCCTCCCGGTACAAATCTTTGCCTCTCACCACATCCAGCTCAAATACTCTCTTTCTCCATATCTCCCAGAACAACTCCCCCCCACCCACAATTTCCCCTCCTAGCACAAATACACCCCAAAAAAAGTCCCTTCCTAGCACAAATACCATCCCCCCCTCCCTACCATATTACATCTTTTTTAGCACAAACCCCTTAAATCTTCCCTCCTAGCTCAATTCCTCTTCCTCCCTCCCAACACAAATCCCCCCAAATCACCACTCCTAGCACACCTCCCCCCAAATTTCCCCGCTTTAAAACAATTCTTACCTACTGTCGCCTCCCCAAAATTCTCCCTCCCAACACAAATCCCCTCCCCCCAATCTCCCAGACTGGTGGAATCCAAAACAGTCTTGTGGGTGGGGAGAAGCTCACAGCCGCAGTTATCATCCCTGCACAAAAGTAGTTGGATACTACAGTTCTTACAGGAGCAATATCAGTTCCATACTCTTCTCAGGGGAGGGGCGGGTGACGTCATCACGCATCCACAGAGGAACGGCGAGTATATTCAGTGAAGACAAACACACCTGCAAGGCTGTTTGTAGTATGATCTGGACACATTTTATACAAAGCGCTACTTTTATTTATACCATGTGAGTGGGAGATCAAAGCTTAATAAATAATCGTTATCCCGGATAAGACACTATGTTTCTTTTCCCTTCTCTGTATGTATCGTATATGGAGGAATAAGCCAAGCAGCCAGTGGAGAAAGTCCTATTGAGAAGGCTGAGCTGAGGAGAGAGGAGAGGAGAAAGGAGAGAGAGGTTCACGCCGTGAACACAGACTCATCACACAGATTAGATTGAACTACAATACCATCTCAATTCTTACGAACTGAACTGTTATTCCCATTTTCATTTTTTACTTATATATTTTATATTTTTTTTCAACAATATTTTTTGCACTCCAATTTTTTATATTAATTGATTCCTTTACATTTATTATTATAATTTATTTATATATTTATATTAATTATGGATTTAAGTATAATTGATTTAGATAATTATTGAATTATTGGTGATACACTTAGCTATTTATAATATCACATAAAATTTATAACATCACTCAAAGTTGAATATATTGGAGCGCGGTACAATATTGATATATATAGTACGCCACCATTGGTTCTAGTGTGAAGAATAGTAGTACACCACCATTGGTTCTAGTGGGAAGAATAGTACACCACCATTGGTTCTAGTGGGAAGAATAGTACACCACCATTGGTTCTAGTGGGAAGAATAGTACACCACCATTGGTTCTAGTGTGAAGAATAGTACACCACCATTGGTTCTAGTGTGAAGAATAGTACACCACCATTGGTTCTAGTGTGAAGAATAGTACACCACCATTGGTTCTAGTGGGAAGAATAGTACGCCACCATTGGTTCTAGTGTGAAGAATAGTACACCACCATTGGTTCTAGTGTGAAGAATAGTACACCACCATTGGTTCTAGTGGGAAGAATAGTACACCACCATTGGTTCTAGTGGGAAGAATAGTACACCACCATTGGTTCTAGTGGGAAGAATAGTACACCACCATTGGTTCTAGTGTGAAGAATAGTACACCACCATTGGTTCTGGTGGGAAGAATAGTACACCACCATTGGTTCTAGTGGGAAGAATAGTACACCACCATTGGTTCTAGTGGGAAGAATAGTACACCACTATTGGTTCTAGTGTGAAGAATAGTACACCACCATTGGTTCTAGTGGGAAGAATAGTACACCACCATTGGTTCTAGTGTGAAGAATAGTACACCACCATTGGTTCTAGTGTGAAGAATAGTACACCACCATTGGTTCTAGTGTGAAGAATAGTACACCACCATTGGTTCTAGTGTGAAGAATAGTACACCACCATTGGTTCTAGTGTGAAGAATAGTACACCATCATTGGTTCTAGTGGGAAGAATAGTACACCACCATTGGTTCTAGTGGGAAGAATAGTACACCACCATTGGTTCTAGTGGGAAGAATAGTACACCACCATTGGTTCTAGTGTGAAGAATAGTACACCACCATTGGTTCTAGTGGGAAGAATAGTACGCCACCATTGGTTCTAGTGTGAAGAATAGTACACCACCATTGGTTCTAGTGTGAAGAATAGTACACCACCATTGGTTCTAGTGGGAAGAATAGTACACCACCATTGGTTCTAGTGGGAAGAATAGTACACCACCATTGGTTCTAGTGGGAAGAATAGTACACCACCATTGGTTCTAGTGTGAAGAATAGTACACCACCATTGGTTCTAGTGGGAAGAATAGTACACCACCATTGGTTCTAGTGGGAAGAATAGTACACCACCATTGGTTCTAGTGGGAAGAATAGTACACCACTATTGGTTCTAGTGTGAAGAATAGTACACCACCATTGGTTCTAGTGGGAAGAATAGTACACCACCATTGGTTCTAGTGTGAAGAATAGTACACCACCATTGGTTCTAGTGTGAAGAATAGTACACCACCATTGGTTCTAGTGTGAAGAATAGTACACCACCATTGGTTCTAGTGTGAAGAATAGTACACCACCATTGGTTCTAGTGTGAAGAATAGTACACCATCATTGGTTCTAGTGGGAAGAATAGTACACCACCATTGGTTCTAGTGGGAAGAATAGTACACCACCATTGGTTCTAGTGGGAAGAATAGTACACCACCATTGGTTCTAGTGTGAAGAATAGTACACCACCATTGGTTCTAGTGTGAAGAATAGTACACCACCATTGGTTCTAGTGGGAAGAATAGTACACCACCATTGGTTCTAGTGTGAAGAATAGTACACCACCATTGGTTCTAGTGTGAAGAATAGTACACCACCATTGGTTCTAGTGTGAAGAATAGTACACCACCATTGGTTCTAGTGTGAAGAATAGTACACCACCATTGGTTCTAGTGGGAAGAATAGTACACCACCATTGGTTCTAGTGTGAAGAATAGTACACCACCATTGGTTCTAGTGGGAAGAATAGTACACCACCATTGGTTCTAGTGTGAAGAATAGTACACCACCATTGGTTCTAGTGGGAAGAATAGTACACCATCATTGGTTCTAGTGTGAAGAATAGTACACCACCATTGGTTCTAGTGGGAAGAATAGTACACCATCATTGGTTCTAGTGGGAAGAATAGTACACCATCATTGGTTCTAGTGTGAAGAATAGTACACCATCGTTGGTTTCAATGGAAGACATGCTGCCCCATTGTTGGTCTCAGTGGGAGGAATAGTGCCCCATGGGCCGGATAAAGGGTAGCAAAGGGCCCTAAGGCCGCAGTTTGGAGACCCCTGCTATAGAGGGATATGCTGTGTTCATATTTCATGTCTGAGGTTTACAACCGCTTTGAGCATGTTCCTTTTTTTTTTTTCTTTCTTTTTCATTAGGGCAGACAAAAAAGATGAAGGCTAAATGACACGTAAGAATTTCGGTTGAGGTATAAAATGTCTGCCATGCCTTCGCTGTACGAGCTGAACCGAAATTCCTAATGCGCGGCCCAAGCGAGTAACCTGTCAGATAAGGGAGCGGTAGTAACATGACTCTGGAACGCCAGTATGAAAATTGTATTCTTTTTTGGGTTGCCAATCGATTTCATGTCTTCCTCGTCCATGGAAAATCAAATAATCTGCCGGTTATTTGATAAAGCTGAAAAGGCACAAAGAAACCTTTACGGCGGAGTAAAATAATCTACTTTCTCTTCGGGGGAAACCTTAGCCATCGGGAACGGTGTTAAGACGCGGGCCGACGCTGAAAAACAAAAAAAAGCCCAAATAGTTTTGGACAGCCAGCCAGCTTCTTTATAATTAAGTTTTGGTTCGGCCCCGAAGACAGCGAGGCGAAATATGTTGGAAACTCCAGGCTTGGATTGCGGATCGTGTAACATTCCTCTAATACGGAGTAACCGAAGAAGTCTTCTCCTTTCTGTCATCCAACGTGTCAACCAAAATTGGAGCGCCGAATCAGACAGCGCGTTGTTTTAGTGTTCCCTCTGTGTTTTCTGGGGGGCTTTTTTATAATATTAGTTAAAACACGAGAGTGGCATTGGCTGGAATGGTCAAAACAGTCCTTGTATCGAGGATTCTTGGAAATATACTGTATATATTTAAAAAAAAAAAAACTGAAATGAGGAATTTCTTGGTTTGTGAACTTCGATCCTTTATACTGAAATGCCATGGATGGCTAGGATTGGGCTGAGGAGGATCTATCCAGCAATCGATCATTATGACAGGACATTGCAAAGTTAACACGGGAATCATTTTTAATGGAACGTATAGTGGTTTACAATGTATATCAAGGAGGTCCGGTCACTAAAATTTTCTTCTGGCCGAGTTCCAAATAGTTTGTTCCCATCAGTGTGCCCCCTTACATTAGGTGTCGCCATCAGAGTGCAGCTTTACATCAGGTATTCCCGTCAGAGTGCCTCCTTACACTCAAAGTACCCCTTTCCATCATATTTCCCCATCAGAGTGCCCCTTTACATCATATTCCCCATCAGACTGCCCCACATGTGCCAATCAGACTGCCCCTTTCCATCACATGTGCCCATCAGAGTGCCCCTTTCCACAGTATGTGCCCATTTGTGCCCCCTTAACATAACACGTGCCCATCAGAGTGCTCCTTTCCATCAGTTGTCCCCATCAGAGTAACCTTTACATCAGGTATTCCCATCAGAGTGCCCCCTTACATCAGGTATTCCCATCAGAGTGCCCCCTTACATCAGGTATTCCCATCAGAGTGCCCCCTTACACTCTAACTACCCCTTTCCATCATATTTCCCCATCAGAGTGCCCCTTTCCATCATATTTCCCCCATCAGAGTGCCCTTTCCATCATATTTCCCCATCAGAGTGCTCCTTTCCATCAGTTGTCCCCATCAGAGTACCCCTTTACATCAGGTAATCACATCACAGTGCCACCTTACATCAGGTATTCCAGTCAGAGTGCCCCCTTACATCAGGTATTCCGGTCAGAGTGCCCCCTTACATCAGGTATTCCGGTCAGAGTGCCCCCTTACATCAGGTATTCCGGTCAGAGTGCCCCCTTACATCAGGTATTCCCATCAGAGTGCCCCTTTACATCAGGTATTCCCATCAGAGTGCCCCCTTACACTCTAACTACCCCTTTCCATCATATTTCCCCATCAGAGTGCTCCTTTCCATCAGTTGTCCCCATCAGAGTACCCCTTTACATCAGGTAATCACATCACAGTGCCACCTTACATCAGGTATTCCGGTCAGAGTGCCCCCTTACATCAGGTATTCCGGTCAGAGTGCCCCCTTACATCAGGTATTCCGGTCAGAGTGCCCCCTTACATCAGGTATTCCGGTCAGAGTGCCCCCTTACATCAGGTATTCCGGTCAGAGTGCCCCCTTACATCAGGTATTCCGGTCAGAGTGCCCCCTTACATCAGGTATTCCGGTCAGAGTGCCCCCTTACATCAGGTATTCCCATCAGAGTGCCCCCTTACACTCTAACTACCCCTTTCCATCATATTTCCCCATCAGAGTGCTCCTTTCCATCAGTTGTCCCCATCAGAGTACCCCCTTACATCAGGTATTCCGGTCAGTGTGCCCCCTTACATCAGGTATTCCGGTCAGTGTGCCCCCTTACATCAGGTATTCCAGTCAGAGTGCCCCCTTACACTCAAAGTACCCCTTTCTATCATATTTCCCCATCAAACTACCCCGCATGTGCTAATCAGACTGCACCTTTCCATCACAAGTGCCCATCTGAGTGCCCCTTTCCACAGTATGTGCCCATTTTTGACCCCTTAACATAACATGTGCCCATCAGAATGCCCCCTTAACATAAAAAAAGGGGCATGCTGATGGGTACATTTTATGTTAAGGGGTACTCTAATGGGCACATTTATATTAAGGGGTACTCTGATGGGCACATTTATATTAAGGGGGCACTCTGATGGGCACATTTTATGTTAAGGAAAACTCTGATGGGCACATTTATATTAAGGGGTACTCTGATGGGTACATTTTATGTAAAGGGGCACTCTGATGGGCACATTTTATGTTAAGGGGCACTCTGATGGGCACATTTTATGTTAAGGGGCACTCTGATGGGTACATTTTATGTAAAGGGGCACTCTGATGGGTACATTTATATTAAGGGGTACTCTGATGGGCACATTTATATTAAGGGGCACTCTGATGGGAACATTTTATGTTAAGGGGCACTCTGATGGGCACATTTTATGTAAAGGGGCACTCTGATGGGCACATTTATATTAAGGGGCACTCTGATGGGCACATTTATATTAAGGGGCACTCTGATGGGCACATTTTATGTTAAGGGGCACTCTGATGGGCACATTTTATATTAAGGGGCACTCTGATGGGCACATTTATATTAAGGGGCACTCTGATGGGCACATTTATATTAAGGGGCACTCTGATGGGCATCTTTTATGTTAAGGGGCACTCTGATGGGCACATTTATATTAAGGGGTACTCTGATGGGGCACATTTTATGCTAAGGGGCACTCTGATGGGCACATTTTATGCTAAGGGGCACTCTGATGGGCACATTTATATTAAGGGGTACTCTGATGGGTACATTTTATGTTAAGGGGCACTCTGATGGCTACATTCTATGTTGTGCCCATCAGAGTGCCCCTTAACATTAAATGTGCCCATCAGCATGACCCTTTACCATTCAATGTGCCCATCAGAGTGCCCCTATAAGACCACACCCTCCCTTATGGGCAGACAGGAGCTGTGCCGGGATCCTTGCTGAAGGATCAGCTGCACTTATGTACAGGAGGGAGCTGGAGCCGGAGAGACAGTGAGCTGCAAGGGGAACACACGTAGTGGCATCGGTTTGCTGTGATGACCGCCCTGCTGATCTGTCATTCCAGTCTGGCGGGCTGGCGGTCCAGAAGGGAGCCGTTCTTGGACCGCGGTGCACCATTTAGTGACCTCTGATATATATTCTCTTAATTATCTATTAAAGTGTATATATAACCAAAACCAATTTTTTGGGAAGCAGTAGTAAAAGGTTACCCCTTCCCAGTGAGGCTTCCATTGCTGTCCATGTCCCCAATGGTCCTGGTGACCACTAGGGTTTCCCCTCAGTTTGTAGACTAAATCTATGAAGGGCTATAGCAGGCTTTCTCAACCTTTTCAACACAGAGGAACCCTTGAAAAAACGTTCTGGTCTCAGGGAACTCCTGCCAAAAATGACTCTACAACTCATGATACATTAGAAGAATTGCCCCCTTACAGATCGCTAAAATGATCAAAGGTGTCAGTGGGAACTTATCTGAGGGGCAGAAATTGCTTATCAATTAAGGAACCCATAGCAACCTCTGGAGGAACCTTAGGGTTCCACCGAACCCTGGCTGAGAAACTCTCTGGGTTAGAATAAACTTACCAAAATTTTCAAAACAAAATCCAGGGACACTTTACTTTTAACCCCCCCGCCACCAATTTGTAGCTACCTTTTGTCCTCATTTTTAAAGTCATCAAACGGTTGGCCAGAGACTTTTAGAACCATAGGCTGATATTCAATATACAAAGACAAACAGATCTCAAGTAAGAGGCACCAAGATATGTGAGCATTGCTGGGAGAGGTGCCTTAAATGTATCAAGAAGAAAAGGAACCAATGGCTTCAGTTGCTCCATTTGGGGTTGCGCTTGCCCAGTACTATGTGTAAGCTTGTAGGCGGGTGCAGTTCATTCTTCCCGCTGTGAAGAATAGAGGTTGAGAGGAGCTTTGTTCCTCTGAAGACCCCATTGGTGTCATCAGAGGGGCAGTGGTCCGATTGGATGCTGCTGCCCTGGCTGACCTTCGCAGCCATCTTTAGTGAGGGCAATGCTAATAAAGAGCTCTGTTCCACTTCGGTTGGCATTTGCGAAGTGGATAGTGTAGGGACAGTGTACTTAGAGCTAATTAGAGGTCCTGGTCAAGGAGGGATGGTGCAAGGATACCACACCTGGCTTCACCATCTGGGAACTCTAGAGAGTTGGGACAAAGACTTTCCTATCAGTTTACTAAAGGAGCCTGCAGAGCTGCTCTTCCTACCTGCCTACCAGCCACCCCTTTCATCAGATGCTGTTCCAGTAACGTAAACCTACCAAAGTGTCCTCCCAAGTGCAGAGTCTTAATGTATCACCAACATAGTCCAGAGCTATTGCCTGTAATATTGAGGCTCTGTTGCCATATCGTTTGCACCTTACGTCTGCCTTCCACATGTTATTTGTTAGTGCTACAAAATATTAATTGTGTCAGCTGCCTGATTTCAGCTTCTGCAGAGAAAGTCATACAGGAGATCTGTTCCTGTAATTCCCTTTGTCGTGCCAATCACCCTCCGTGCCCACATCTGATTCACCCTGTTGGCCGGAGACCCGTACAGGAGGACTGGCGGTACCCCCTTATACACGGCCCTGGTGGTCAGAATGCCACAGACAACTAAATGTTCATTGTCGGCATACCACTGGTTCTGCCATGTGACATTGTACTTGGCACCATAAGATGGGATGCCACAGATCAAGGAACCCCTAACTGCCTCTGGAGGAACCCTAGTTCCACTGAACCCTGGTTGAGAATGCCTGCCCTAATCAATGTTCCAACTACAGACTACTGAGGTCCACATCATATACCAAAGGGCTGCATGCGGCCCCAGGGGCTTATGGAATACAGTGTTTAGTGCAGGTTGCAGTAGCGTATATCAACCAATCAGAAGCTGAGCTTGGTGAAATTAAATCTGCTTTCAGGTGCTTCAATTGGCCCTTTCACTTTGCTCAGCCCAATAGAGTAACTTTTGTACTGCCCTTTTAAACAGTTATTATGCCTTGTATGACCACTTGGATTAACTTGCCGCCTGGCTCTACAGACATTATGGTCTGTAAGACGTGCATGTGACCAGGGGTGTATTTACCACAAGGCAAACAAGGTATTTGCCTAGGGCAGCATTTTTTAGGGGGGCGGCACTGGCCCCTGAAAGAAGGGACATATGCGGCATGGGGTCCAGGTGGGATGCGAGAGAGGCTGCGGGCTGATTGATGGTCTATGCAGAGCCCGACTGTCGTTCCTGGGGATGGCCAGAGTTGTGAAGGTGAGTGTCTTTCTTTCTGTCGCCCAGGGGGAGGGGGGGTTTAGGGGTGTTAGTGGCCATTTAGCCACTCGGGCACTTCCCGAGGGCCCGGGGTCAGTAGGGGGCCCCATGAAATGCCCCTGGTACCTTTCATAGGCTTTTTTGGGTGTGGTTTGAGTGTGGGCGAGGACATAGGGGCCCCATGATTTCCTATTGTCCGGGGCCCCATGAGTTGTCAGTCCACCCATGAGTGGAAGGCTCTCTAGGGTGGGGGGGGGGCACAGGGCAGAGGTGTTGGTCACTGTCAGGCTCTCTCCGTGGGGGGGGTCTGGTGTTTGTAGTGTCAGGCTCTCTCCGTGGGGGAGGGGGGGGGGTCTGGTGTTGGAACCAGGAAACCAGGTGGGATCTGAGAAGGGCTGCTGGATGGTCTATGTATAGCCTGACTCTGGAGCTATGACGACGGGTGTATTTCTCTCTACCGTCGGAGTGAGGGGGGGGGGGTAGTAGAAGGCTCTCCCAGATGTGGGGCATTGGTGTTGTTGGTCATTGTCAGGCTCTCTCCGTGGTGGAGGGGGGTGTTTGTTGTTGGAACCAGGGAACCAAGTGGGATCTGAGAAAGGCTGCGGGCTGCTTGATGGTCTATGTACAGCCTGACTCCGGAGCTATGACGATGGGTGTATTTCTCTCTATCATCGGAGGGGGGGGAGGGTAGTAGAAGGCTCTCCCAGATGTGGGGCATTGGTGTTGTTGGTCATTGTCAGGCTCTCTCTGGTGTCTGGTGTTGGAACCAGGGAACCAGGTGGGATCTGAGAGGCTGTGGGCTGCTTGATGGTCTATGTACTCCGATGGGTGTATTTCTCTCTATCGTCCGGAGCTATGACGATGGGTGTATTTCTCTCTATCGTCAGAGTGAGGGGGGGGGGGTAGTAGAAGGCTCTCCCAGATGTGGGGCATTGGTGTTGTTGGTCATTGTCAGGCTCTCTCCATGGGAGGGGTGGTGGTGTTTGTCAGTGTCCATGGTGGACTCCGATTTTTGTGTTGCCTAGGGTAGCACAAAACTTAAATACACCATTGCATGTGACACATATGCAGTGGTCATTTTTTTTCGCATGCAGAACAGGCCTGGTAGACATTTCATGTCCAAGTTTGACACCATGTCTACCACCGCTAAGAAACGTCCCACACGTTCCTCATATCCAAGCAGAGTTTCAGGCCCATACTCTACTCCAACCTCCAGCTCCCAACCTCCAGCTCCCATCCAATCCCAAAACTGCGGCTTTGCACTTCACAGAGCTGATCCCCCTAGACTCAGATAGACGTGCCGCCGGGTTGCCAATACCTCCCGACCACTAATCTCCCCTTTCTCCCTTGATTCTGTTACGTTGGCGTTCGTATTTCCAATCCACCGGCCCAAGATCCAGGCACTCTCCCCAACGTCAGGTAATCATAAAATATGTGCTGTTTGAAGACTCGATGGCTCGGAGGTAAAATGGAAAAGCCGTGCAGACACATATGAAACTAATAGCAGTAGCTCGAAAGTAGCCAAACAAAATTCTCCAAGAGCGACCGTGCCAAAGAACCTCAAGCCTGACCTGCAATATCTCCGGCAGTTGGGTCCCGCTCACGAGGGGGGCGCAGGTACCGTGTTACATCTTCTATGTGTGTGTGAGATATTAAGCGCCCGCTCGAGACTCTGTAGCAGCTCACAAAACTAATTTGTTTCCCGAGCGCCGCGACTGACGTGAGGCTTCATGCTGGACCAAAAAAATTTTTTCGGGAGCGTGGAAAATGGTAGCACAGTCGTCTCTCTCTCTCTGTCGGTTCTGGCAAGCCTTGCCGCTGTCCTAATCACCAACATGACGGATGTTCATTACAAACGTCTCACTCGCTCCCCTATACTCCTGCGGTTTTTGTATATTTCGAGCCATGAGAAGTCCCTAATGGAACGTAACAGTATCCTAATGTTTCCTTTCAAAGTTGTTATTGTTTCTCGAGGATACAACCCGGCCCTCCTTTATTTTTCTGGCAATCTCCGCTAATCCTCGATTTAATCCCCTTATTTCTTGGGCTTTCCCAAGTCACAAATGTGTACAGCCGTCAATTTAACCCAAGGCCCTCCATCTTCTCCAAATACAACTTCTTGTTGGGCGAAGGCTCAGATCCACCAAGAACGCGAGAGCGGCCGGGGGTTCGGGTTTTCTGCTGCAATCAAAGAGCTGTTTGTTAATTCCCTTTAATGACCGCAGAGCTTAAAATATAATCATGTCGTAGAGCAGCGACAGGCGGAACGTACGGTAGGAACTCTCGTAGAGCTGCTTACGTAGGAACGGAGCGAATGAATACTTCATATTGTTGTCCAATTACAGTCTTGTTGGCTTTCCCATTATCAACTCCCAACCTGTGGCTGTTGGAGAAGAGAAACGCGGAGTTCGAACGGACATTCTGTCTCTTTTTTTTTTCAAACAATACCAAAAGTGTCACAATGTATCATTTAGGACCCTGAAGCCCAACCTAGGGGCCGATAGACCACATGCCAACCTGGGATTCCAGGACCCTTTGAAGATGGTACTCTATGCAGTGGCATCCCTAGGCAGGTGCGGGGGGGGGGGGGGTGCGTGCCACACTGGGTGACACCGGCTCCGCTCGACAAAAAGGTAAGTTGTAAAGCAAGCTGACGATCCCGCAGGATGGATCGGATCTGAGGATTGGGGAAGCATAATGGATCGGACTCCAATCCATTATGCTGAATCCCGCAGATCCGATCCATCCTGCGGGGATCGTCAGCTTGCTTTACAACTTACCCTTTCCGTGGAGCGGGTCCGGTGTCACCCCGTATAGGTTGCATGCCAACGATGACGTTGCAGAACTTCAATCCATTATGCTCAATCCGCAAATCTGAACCATCCTGCGGGGATCGTCGGCATGCTACCTATACGGGGGTGACACTGGTACCCGCTCCACGGAAAGGTAAGTTGTAAAGCAAGCCGACGATCCCCAGATCGGATATAGTGAATGCCGGGTCCGGGGAGATCAGATATACTGAATGCGGGGTCCGGGGAGATCAGATATAGTGAATGCGGGGTTTCCGGGGAGATCAAATATAGTGAATGTGGGATCCGGGGAGAGCGGATATAGTGAATGCGGGGTTCCGGGGAGATCAGATATAGTGAATGCGGAGTCCGGGGAGAGCGGATATAGTGAATGCGGGGTCCGGGGAGAGCGGATATAGTGAATGCGGGGTCCGGGAAAGAGCGGATATAGTGAATGCGGGGTCCGGGAAAGAGCGGATATAGTGAATGCGGGGTCCGGGGAGAGCGGAAATGGTGAATGCCGGGTCCGGGGAGAGCGGATATAGTGAATGCGGGGTAAAAATCCTGGGAGAGAGGATATAGTGAATGCGGGGTCCGGGCAGAGAGCGGAAATGGTGAATGCCGGGTCCGGGGAGAGCGGAAATGGTGAATGCGGGGTCCGGGGAGAGCGGATATAGTGAATGCGGGGTCCGGGGAGAGCGGATATAGTGATGCGGGGTCCGGGGAGAGCGGATATAGTGAATGCGGGGTCCGGGGAGAGCGGATATAGTGAATGCGGGGGTCCGGGAAGAGCGGATATAGTGACTGCGGGGTCCGGGGAGAGCGGAAATGGTGAATGCGGGGTCCGGGGAGAGCGGAAATGAGTGAATGCCGGGGTCCAGGGGGAGAGCGGATATAGTGATGCGGGGTCGGGGAGAGCGGATATAGTGATTGCGGGGTCCCGGGGAGAGCGGAAATGGTGAATGCCCGGGGTCCGGGGGCGAGTGAGAGCGGAGGGGAAATGGTGACAATGCCGGGTCCGGGGAGAGAGCGGGGATATAGTGAATGCGGGGTCCGGGGAGAGCGGATATAGTGAATGCGGGGTCCGGGACGAGCGGAAAAATGGTGAATGCCGGGTCGGGGAGAGCGGATATAGTGAATGCGGGGTCCGGGGAGGAGCGGATATAGTGGAATGCCGGGTACCGGGGAGATCAGATATACTGAATGCGGGGTCCGGGAGATCAGATATAGTGAATGCGGGGTCGGGGGAGATCAAATATAGTGAATGTGGGATCCGGGAGAGCGGATATAGTGAAGCGGGGTCCGGGGAGCATCAGATATAGTGAATGCGGAGTCAAGGGGAGAGCGATATAGTGAATGCGGGGTCCGGGGAGAGAGCGGATATAGTGAATGCGGGGCCCGGGAAGAGCGGATAATAGTGAATGCGGGGTCCGGGAAGAGCGGATATAGTGAATGCGGGGTCCGGGAGAGCGGTAAATGGTGAATGCCGGGTCCTGGGGAGAGCGATATAGTGAATGCGGGGGTCCGGGGAGAGCGGATTATAGTGAATGCGGGGTCCGGGGAGAGCGGAAATGGTGAAATGCCGGTCCGGGGAGGAGCGGAAATGGTGAATGCGGGGTCCGGGGAGAGCGGATATAGTGAATGCGGGGTCCGGGGGAGTAGCGGATATAGTGAATGCGGGGTCCGGGGAGAGCGGATATAGTGAATGCGGGGTCCGGGGAGAGCGGATATAGTGAATGCGGGGTCGGGAAGAGGGATTATAGTGACTGCGGGGTCCGGGAGAGCGAAATGGTAATGCGGGTCCGGGGAGAGCGAAATGGTGAATGCCGGGTCCCGGGGAGAGCGGAATATAGTGAATGCGGGTTCCGGGGAGAGCGTCATATGAGTGAATGCGGGGTCCGGGGAGAGCGGAAATGGTGTGAATGCCGGGTCCGGGGAGAGCGGACATGGTGAATGCCGGGTATTTTTTTTTTTTTTTTTTTCTACCCCCCCTGGGGGGGGAAGAAGAGCGGATATAGTGAATGCGGGGTCCGGGGAGAGCGGATATAGTGAATGCGGGGTCCGGGAGAGCGGAAATGGTGAATGCCGGGTCCGGGGAGAGCGGATATATGAATGCGGGGTCCGGGG